ACTTAATCAACTTTTCCAACGGGATTCACACCCGAGCTGGACGAGGCGAGAGACATGCCGCCCCACCATACTGTTCTCTAAGTGCCACTAAGTCTTAAGGCCCACGAAACTCTGGCATCACGATTGAGTGGTTACCGCTTGGCTTGTAGGGCTCGGTTTCGAGTCCAGTTTGAAGTGCTGCTCAGATCTAGGCACAGTAAATATTGTGACAAACAGTTTGAACTACAAAGAAGATATAAATTCGGGACAAGATAAAACCATTATTGCCCTTGATTGAAAGCATTTATACTACGCCTCAATATAAAATAATTCTACTCTACATCCTTCACTTTATGATTCAATTTATGGGCGAAAATTTTATGTGGAACAGCAACTAAGAAAGAAATTTGAGATGACTTTTCTACTTACGGAGCTGTGAGCTGAATTTGCGCTTCACTTGCTCTCCGCACCAGACCAGTTGCTGGCCCACAGATGGCATTCCAGTCAGGGAGGTCACTTTCTCTTCCTGGCACTGATTCGGACATATTTACTTCCTCCTCATGGTCCCGGTCATGTGGCCGAGAAGCCGTAGCTACTTCGCCTCGTCCATTCTCCGGTTGCTCTTCACCGGCCAGACCAGGTCGGGTTGGAGGAGTAGAGGCTGGGCAGCTAGTGGCCGGAGGTGATGCGAATGGCTGCGGCGGAGCCAAATCAGACTCGAGCGAAGTGGATGGGCTGTCAGAGGCTTGTGAAGGAGGTACTTTCTGAGGTTGGAGGACAATATCGAAACGTAAACGGTCGGTCATCGAGTAATTTGAAAGTCCATAGAACAATATTTCATTTACAGATTAAAGGTGTATTCCCCACCCCTTGGTCCTTCTCCTTGGACTGATATCAGCCGTCATTGGATTCATATATATTTTAATGTATTCATCCTATTTCATTCAAGGAAATGAAGGACTGATAGTTGAATCTTCCCCCAATGATATGTGTAGGCCTTACAGATCCATTGCATTTCACATATCCTTGCTTCCCAAAAGGTATTCTCATCCAGGCTAGACTGCAGTTTCGACCTCGCCTAAGCCTTATCAACACTCCCATCAGGATTCGAATCATAAAAGTGTAGCATTACGCCATATTGCAACGAGTGCCCTTGGGTCGCGGGGCAGATATGAATTTCAAGAGAGGCCAGGCATTTCCCCATATCACATTCTTTGGCGGGATTGTCAATTAAGAAAGCGTATTTTTGATATAATAATCGACTACTTTATTTATTCGAAGATATGAAGACCAGGATGGCGTGGTCTTTTGTATGGTTGCGATCTCCTTTCGTTGTATAGAAGCTGTTTGACCTTGTTTTCGCAACTTGGTCATATTGACAGAAATGCAATTAGTTGTAGTGTGGTGGTAAGAATGACAAGGCTCACTGACGATGCCGGCGAAACGACCTGGAATGTACCAAGTCCACGGCCCGACTCTAGAAAATTATCATACATATAATGGACTCCGAACTAGGTGCGTTCCTCTAGGTCTTCCTGCCAATATTAACAATTTTCTAAAACAAGGTCAAATAACTTATTTACGTTACTTATTTTTCGTATGAAAGTAAAGTTTCTAGAATACCAGAAACGGCCTGGCCTTCCTTAAAATTGATATCTGCCCAGTGTTTCAAGTAGAGTTCTCCCGGTAGTCTCGAAGCCTTACTTACAAACTAAAAACAACTAATGCAGTCAATTGTTAATACAAATATAAGTTTGATTCATCGACATTCTCACCAAAAATGTGATATTAAAAAATGCCTTGCCTCTCTTAAAATCAAAGTATGCCCAGTGACCGAAGGGGACCCGTGGCAATGTCGCGTAATGGTTAACATTTCGAGATGACAAGCTACATTGTCATGATTCGAGCCCCACTGGGTGTGTTGCTAAATAAGCCTTATGCGAGGTCGAAACTGCAGTCCAGCCCAGATGATAATACCTCTTGATATGCAAGGATATGTGAAATTCAATGGAAATCAGATCATTTTGGGAAAATTAATCTATCTTCATCACCTTAAACAAAATAAGGTGACTACCTCCCACATATCTCATTTACTGGTAGTCTCGAAACCCTACTTTTACATTATTTCCCCTTGATTTGTTCCGTTTGCATTATTTTTAAAATACCGATGAAATGTATTTTT